TTTTCTGCCTTCTAGTGCAGTCTCCTCACACTTGACATGTGTGTGGCTTCTTTAAGAATTGTAGAACGGGGGTCTAAATTGTGGATCTTGTCTACCACCTTAAGGATATTTCTCCATCATCAACTTCAGATGCACAACTACCATTCCCAGAGCTTGGCCACACATTCACTTATTTAATCCTCACAACAGCTCTATGAAGTTGGTCTTAATCACTGTTCCCATTTCACAGATAAGGAAGCCAAGGTAGGTGACCGATGTGACTTATAAGTCCACACCCCTGGTGGGGGCCTAGCAAGTGGGTCTCACCATCCATCTCCAGACCTGGATTCTCAACTGCCAAGCTCTGTGCTTTATGTGGCTGCTCTAAGAGGTTCCCCCACTCCCCAACACCGGTGCTTCTTTTTTCAAAATGAACTTTAAAGAGCTTCAACATTTTTTTTAAAGCTTAGCCTTGTGCTCAGCATAATATCCACAAAGTCATAGGTTAGATGGGCTAATCGCAAAACCTCCTGTTGGCAGACTTAGGAATTGGTCTTACTTCCCAGTCCACTCACTTATAAGTGGCTACAAAGAATCTCACACATTACTAGGGGTGACGGAGTAGGAGTGCACTCTGGGAGATGCTGAGTCTAGAAAGTAGGGAATGTCTTAATCAGGTCCTGATCTGTCTGCTCACTCACAGCAGGACCCCGAGTGAGATGAAAGCACGGCTCTGAGCCTATCTGTGCTCATCTCTGAAATGGGTTGACATCTGCCGCGGGCAGCTGAATCAGAATGCATCAGAAAGTGCCTGGCTTGGTGCCTAGGTGGTCAGTGAGGAGATCCCTGCAACTCCATCATCGCTGGACTTCAGACAGATTTGGATACAGAGGCCTGGGAGTCAGAGCCACTTGATGAACTCCATGACCGAGCTGGTCTGTCGATATGGGTGGCTGGACCCGGTGCTTCACAACACCCCTTCCCAGAGCTGAGCATGGGGCCCTTGTGACCTTATGGGTAGAGAACACAGATCAACCCAGGCAGGAAGAGCCCATGGGAAACTTGCGGCAGGGTGAAATGCCTTTTCCTTGCCATCTCTCTGCACTGGACCTGTAACCACACACGCCGACTTGAGCAGGCTGCAGACATTCGGGAAATGTCTCCCCCCGGAACAGAAGTCAGGAGCTCCTGGGGATGACTGCCAAGCCCCCCACGTAGACGGAGATGCGAGGGCCCTGCTTCTGCTAACCCGCCTCTGGGAACGCTATCCCTGGGCTCGACGTCTTTCATGCTATCCACTCAGTTTATTTTTGGAGGAAAGAAAGGAGAAAGTCAACACAACACACCCCTTCATTTAATTACAGGAACAGTCAGGACCAATCTGGCAGCTATTAAAATACAAATTTTGCCTTGATGCTGGCTCCTCGCAGCAGGAGCTGGAAGTCCAAATTGGCTGTGAAGGGCCGGAGATGGGGACAGAAGGTCAGCACAGCTATTAGGAACCACATGCAACTAAAAGCCCAGGCTCCCTGTGGTCTCTTTTGCATCTCACTGCTCGCTCCTGTCGCTTCCCTTCCCATCTTTACTTTGTAAGCTCTCTGCCTCTGTTGCATTCTCTCTACCAATGCTGGTCCTTCCAGACAGAGCCCTCCTGGAGTGGGAAGAGGCTTTGGAGACTACCTTGCTCAAACCCCTTGTTTTTTCAAGAAGAAGATGAAGTCCAGAGAAGCCAAGAGGCTGCCTCCCAGGAAGCCAACATGTTGGCGGGAAGCTGGGTCAGAACACAGCTAGAACGTGGGCACTGGGGTCCCCCCCCCCCAGATGGGAGTACGATCCTGCTCTCGTGGTGTGGCTTAAACAAACTACTTCATCTCTCTGAATCTGTTTCCTCATTTACACACTGAGGCTAATAAGTTGTGAAGGGGTCAACACTGGAAGCCAGAAAATCAAATCAACACAAAAGAAAATAAAACCCATAGAGGTTAAGTTAGTAGGTGACTGTGGTCAACAGGTATAAACTGCCGGTGAAAAATCAGTCAGCCCCGGGGACATGATACACAGCCGGGGTCTAGTCTGTAACACTCTTGTATATTTCAAAGTTGCTGAGAGTTCATCTTAGAAGTTCTCATTATAAAAATAAAATCATACCTGTACTGGCGATGGAGGTTGAACTTGACTTTGGCAGTGATCACTCTGCAGTGGGTGTGGACGTCAATCATTATGTTGTGCATCTGATGCAAATACAATACTCTATGTCCCTGACAGAACTATTTGGCTATTTGATGTATTCGTTTTACTTCCACCCTTGCATTACATCGAGGGCTAATTAAACAGTCACCTCTAAAAAAAATGAATCAAGTTGGGGTCTGATGATATCATCTTAAGTGCTTGCCTCAGCCACACGTGAAGTAGGACTTCAAAGCTTTAGTTGCATTAGCTAGTCACTTCCTTTACCCTGTAAGCTGGATCCTGCCATTTCTAGAAGCTGGGAGCAATGGGAGAAGATGGGGTGGTGAGGCTGGTCCATGCTGCAGGGGGCTGAAGCTGGCAGAGGAGAGGGTAGCAGGCAATGGCACACTGGCTCATTGTACTATTGACACTAAACCCATCCTTCATGCAGCTCAGTATGAGATTCCTCCTGAAGACCAACTCTCGAATGCGGGAGCTCTGTGAGCTCAGCTGTCTGTCCAGGGAGTCCTGGCCAGCCCTTAGGACTTTAGAGGGTGCTATAGGCATCCTCTCCTTAGCCCAAGCCTCTTTCCCATCCATGCCATTTGGGTACCAATGTCAACTGCCAATGCATGTCACCTAGACAGGATGGCACACCTGGAGGTACACCCGTCTCGTACACCATCCACAGACTTCTACCAGCCATGCTTTAGTCCTCTGCTGATCATGGCAATGACATCACCACAGTCACCCTACCGTCGTCACAGGGCATTTACTACATGCAAATACTTTAGATGACACAGCTCCTTTACTCCTCCCCACAACTATACTGAGCCTCCCATTATATAAGTAAGGGGTGAAGGTCAGAGAGGTAAGTCAACTGTCCTGCTAGGCCATGGTAGAGCAACTCAGGAAGTGAAAGCTTCACCTCCAAGCTACAGCCAGTTGCTAGCACAGTGCCTGGAAATAGTGGGCAGAGAATCAATCCTGCAGGGGCTGAAACACCACCAGAGTAGATGTACTTCAGACACAGGTCTACCCGCTTCCAGCAGCTTTTTTCCTCATGGTGCATCTGTTTGCACAACACCTGCATTACACTGTTGTTACCTGCTGGAGAAGCAGGTCTTCATTTACTACCTAAGAGCAGAGACAACAATACCTGGGCCAGTTTTGATAATGGCTTGATGGGATCTTGCTCGGCTCCCCTTCGCTCCCAAGGGCTTTAGAACCAGAAACCTGGGTTCAAACGCTACCACTAACCAGTTGTGTGACCACAGGCTGGCTTCTCTCTCTCTCTGTCTCATTTATTTATGCATACAGAACTGGGGTACAGACCAGAGATGCAGAGGCAGTGAAAGGATTCGCCAGACACAGGGTCGGGAGCAGAACAGGCAGATGGACGAAGTACACTGCTGAGGGGAGCAGCGGGAGGGTCAGGAGAGGTCTGCCGCACCATGTGGTCACCTCCGGGGCTGGGGATCGAACTCTCGGTACTCACAGTAAAGCAGCTGCTACTAGTTCGCAGTGCTGCTCTTTAACCTGTTGCACCAACAGGGAGGGCCTGGGGATCTTTTCCAATGTAGAGAAAGTGGTGGTGATAGTTTGGGAACAGTCAACACTCGGCTAGATGGCATCAATGTTAAAAGGCAGGAATTGACATGGCACTCACTGAGATCACTCTAAGCTACTTCTAGAAGGCTCAGGAAATGGAGCTCACCGCTTGCTTTTGTCTCCCTCCACTGTGGATAATTGGATAAACTGAGTCACAGTCATGGAACCCAGCCATGGGATAGAACATCCAAAGCAAAGATCACACCTGAAATGCCAACGGGAGCCAGGCAGGGATGGGGCCGGGTGAGGCCTACAGCCACACAGAGAATGCGAGTTCTAAGAGCCGGATAACTGTCGTGAGAAATTCAGGCACAGAGTTATTGGGCCTTTGGGTCCTTTTGGATGAATTGGAAATCGGCATTTTCATGGGAAATACTGCTATTTTTAAAAGGGCTATTAATTTTCAAACGAAGCATCTGATTTAACCAAAACAAACCAGTCCAGCATGAAGGCCAAACAAAACATACTAACAAGCTAAAATGATCCAGGTTACGGTCTGAGTTCAACACTAGAGAAAAGCTCCAAGAAGTCAGCGTGAGCCCTGGCGGTGGGAATGACGAAGCCCATCATGTGATTTCACCTACAGGGGGCGCTCGAGGCTCTCCCTTGTGGCTCATCTCTGGCCATAGAGAGTTGGACTTAGCTTAAAGCCCAACTGCAGGGATGCTGATTGGCATTACTTTGAAAAAGCAGAGGCACCATGGGTCAAGAGAAGTGCCCATGTTTTGGGCAGCAATTGAGGCAACAGGGAGGGCCAGGGCTGGGGTTAACTACATGCTGGCAGATGGCCTTTTCCCACTGAAAAGTAGACTCCAGGAGAGTGAGGATCTTGTTTTGTTCGCTGCTAGAAGGGTGCCTGGCACATGCCTGGTCCTGGTAAAGGTTTGTTAAATCTTTGTGGCTGACCCAGTGGATGACAGCGTGGACATCACCTAAACTGTGGGCTTCCTTGCCAATAAAACGGGGCTCAACAAGGGCTCCCTAACTCACCTGGAAGGGCTGCCATCAGGTAATAGAAGTACTTAGAAGAAAAGATATCAAGGACTAAGACGCCGTGATACACCGTGACTGTCACCTCAGTTCTGCGCCAACCAGAGGGATTGGTTAAGGGTGGCAGTTGGCCGGAGCCTCACCTCTCCTGTCCTCAGCCCTTCTCTGCTGCATCACCCAGCCCAGAAGCCCACACCAATGACTCAGACTTTCATTTTCATTTTGTACAAGGTGCGGGGAAGATGTCCTACCTTGCATTGTCCCGGCCATGTGACTTCAGGAAATTCATGTCTCGGTATCGGGAGAGAAACGCCACCAGCTGGTCATTTGTCCTGTAGAAACAAATGGAGGGGAAAGTTAGGGTCCTCCAGAGGCCATAGGGACTTCTTCACTTCTTTTTGTCATGGAGACCAGGTTCCCACCTTCTTTCCTGGATGACTGTCCCATAACTGACTACTCTCACCGGACAGTTGGGGTGCTTTCTCCAGTCACCCCATTATACTGTGAACTTCTTCAGCCAAGTATAGTACCTTGTTTATTTTGGAGTCTTCCATGCCCAGTGCTGGCCTTGGCAACCTCAGGGCCTTTGCACTTGCTATGCCTAGGAAATGCTTTTATCTTATAGTCACTAATCTACTCCTGTCATCCAGATGGCCTTTCGAATATCACCTCTTCAGAGCGGCCTTTTCTGGCCACCCAATCTACAGGAACATCCACCACCCACCGCCCCACACCACCTTTATCAGATCTCTCTATCCACTTCACCACCTTATCACCATCTCAAAGTTACCTGCTGAGATGAGGATAAGATAAATGCCATGAGGACAGAGCGTAATGGCTGTGCTCACCAATGGCACAGAGTAGGAGCTGCAGTAATGTTTGCTGGGTGAATGAAGGACTCAAGCGAGGTGAGTGTGAGCTGACTCCTTCACTGGATTGTGAGGAGTAAGTGAATGCATGCGGGAAGGAATGAATGCAGACTGGGCCTCCATAGCCACTGGGCTACTGATGGAGAGTGCTTTAACAAACATGAAGCGTGCGACACACGAGTGACATCGTTCCCAGCATTGTTATCCCAAATTTATCGCCATCAATCTCGGCACTAGCTGTGTAGTCACAGCTAATCAGCTTGTGCATACAGCTGTGACAGTGTTTTCAAAGGCAGTCACACGGGTCTCCATCTGCTAGATAGGCAGGCGCCTCTTCCGCTGAATAAACCCAAACAGGTAAACGATGCTGAAGTGACAGCTCCTTTATCATCAGGCTTCTCTGCTCAGGGGTTTTTACTCACAAAGAGTTAACCAAGCCTTCAAACGGGGAGAAAGGGAGGAAGTTGGGGCGGGGGGGGGGGGGGGGGGGGAAGGAAAGGCATCTCCGGGCCTAGAATGGAGGTTAGACCTCTGGGGGCAGGAGAACTTGGGAAGGGTGCCTGGGCTTGAGAAGCGGGAAGATCTGGATACAAATCTCGGCTCCACTCCTGACCGAGCTGTAGCAGCTGCTGAACTTACTGCTGCCCAGCACGCCGGCCTCTCTACTGGGTGAGTAGCTGGGTAGACGTAAAGGGCACGGAGTAGGTGCCCAGGAAACGCAAGCTGCCTTGCTTTTCCTGTCTCTGACCATCTGGTCCTCATTCCCAACTCCTCATAGTTGCATCTCTCTATCCCTATTCTGTGATTGGTGGGTTTGCATGGACCAACTCATCCTGCCAGTGAGGGGCACAGGCCAGTCGAGAAGATGCTGCAGTGAGAATGAGCACTGCCGGAAAGCCACCTCTGCCTGCAATAAACGCCCCTCCTCAAGCAGCTGGTCTAGTGACAGCCGGCGCCACAGGCCCCGTGTGTCTGCAGCCAGGTAAATCCGGCGCATGGGCAGAAAGCTAAGACCTGCTGCTTTGCACAGAAGTGGACCCCAGGGATGCGGACAGAAGGCTAACCCCATGTGTCTGCATGAGGGAGTGTCTCCTGTGTGGAGCCCAGCCCCCCCTCCCAACACACGCTGCCAGGTCCAGCCCCAGGGGCCTCACACCAAGTTCCGCTGTGGGCAGAGGGCTTCCCTTGGTCGCGGGAGAGGTGGAAACTAAATCAGACCATGGCATCTCTGCAAGCCAGCAGGAGCCCACCCCACCCAGGCATCTCAGCAGTGCCTATTTACCAGCCTGCTCGCCACTCTGCGACAGTTCATTATTGTCCCTGATGAATGCAGGACAAGTCAGCCTCTGAATGGGTCCCTGGCAGCAAGAATAATAAATAGGGGCCTCTCGGCAGCCTCAGTGGGAGGACTGAAGGGGCCGGGCTGGGGCTCCGGGGCCCTTCTCCAGAAGCCCCCCGCCTCCCAGGGTTAGTGGCTGCAGCTCCACTTGGCAAACCCAGAAAGCGTCTTTCAGGGCCCTGAGTCGGGGCCATTTTCACATTTACCGCTTCACCGAGTCCCCATCTGACGGGCATGAATAGGCATTTAGCGAATTTACTTAGCGATGCTTCCACATGAAATCGTCTCAAAAGATGACATCTTGGGGGAGGGAGGGTGTGCGGGGAGGGGGCTGGGGTTTCCAGGCTCAGAGCTTGTGGGTAAATCCGCCTTGGAAAGAGGAGAGCTGCGTGCTTGGCTGGGCTGGTGGGGCCAGGGGGCCCGGCCCCCTGGCTCTCCGGCTCTTCCTTTCGCGAACAGCCTATGCTGGATGCTAGACCTGTCTCCCAGGCCCCCTCCAAGGGGAGCCAGAGTCGGGCTACAGGCCAAGTTTCCCTATTGTTGCTTTCAGACTCCTGCGGAGAACTGCCTACATCCTACTTAGTTCTCTCTGGGTAATTAACAGTTTGTCATCTGTTGACACGTTACCCGGTTCCAGTCTCTCTCGCGCTTCCGCTCGTTTGCCCTCACACACCTCTCTCCTCCTCCTTCCTGGTGGAGACCTTAGCCAAATGGCTTCCACAGCTCCCCACCGTGTCTGCTCCCACCCACCTCCCTGCACCTAGTGCTGCCATTGTAAGGAGACACGTGTGCCGTGTATGCGAGCTCCTCTAGCTCCTCAGGGCAGCTCTGGGCCCATCACTGTTATCTTTGGAGCCACTTTGTTGAATAAGTAAGGAAATAAGTGAAGATTAAACTTGCTGGAATCACAGGGGACTCCTGCTTGAATGAATAAGTAAGTGGGTAATAAAACAAGCCCCCAGATCACGGCCATGCATGGAATGTCCATCGGGCCCTCGGCACCGGGTAGACTTTCCCGATATGGGGCACGGACAATTCACAGAGACACTGCACGGTGCGATTTCCAATCCCATTTTACAGTCGGGCTTCTGAGGCTCAGAGAAGGAGCCGTTTGGGGCAGGACCAGGGCGGGAACCTGTTCCCAAACGTCAGAGCTCATGCTCTTTCCGTGAGGCTGATTCTACAAAGAACGAGGAATGAACGGATTCCATTCCGAGGCAGAAAACTCAGGAGTCCCAAACCTGCCGTTTTCAGACCAACACCATCAGCCCACTGAGGTTAAAATGCCAGATTTCAGGCTCTGCCCAGGACCTACTGAGTTCAAGTTTACTTTTGAACCAAAATCCCAGGTGACGGGTGTGTGCCCTTTAAGGTTGAAGAAGCGCTGCTTTCAGTCAAGCGTGAATCTCAGCCGTTACTGCTCTTCGTTCCCTCTTCATCTTTGCCCCATGGTCTCTTCCTGAAGGCCTGGGCGTTCATCTCAGTAAGCCTCAGGTGTGGGGAGTACTCGATAAAATGATGCGTGTATGACCCAAGCAGTAGCACCTGATGCATAGTAAGCCCTTGATAAATGCGAGCTGTTATTGAATCGTGTTATTATTGCCAACTTGAACACCAGACGCTTAAGACATTTTGAACTGGCACGAGGAGCATGAAGACCCAATAGGGAGGCTTCCTGTGCATAACGCCCAAGGAATGTTGTGCAGAACAGGGTTTGGGAAATGTCCCACCGAAGGGGCATGTCCACAGGCCTCCAGCAGGTGGGATCGGGCACTGGTTCTCGGGGCAAATGTACCTGCGCCCTGCACGTGCTTGTACCATGCACAAACCAGGCCTGAAGATGCAGAGAAGGAGGGTCCCATTCCTGGGAGTTCAGCCCCCCACAGTCCTCACCAGGGAGGAGCCCACTACACAGCCACTTTCTCTGGGTGCCCCTTGCCCACCATACTGTGCCCCAGAACCCCTTTCCAGGGTGCTGAGAAGCATCTGCCAGGACCCTGGAGACTAACGTGTGGCAGACAGGACAAAGGCACACGTTTAGAGCAGGCTTTTTATGGACTCGGACCCCAGCCCGCGGAGGTCCCCCTGGGTGTGCAGACCCCAGAGGCACCAGGCCAAGGCCCTGTGGATGCAGTGCCCAGGCATGGGGGCGGAGAGGCACACGAAAGGCGGGTGGAGGACTGTGTGGCTGAGGGTGCTGCCGGCGCCTGACCTTCGCTCTGAGCCCCCACTGTGCCAGGACACCCCTCCCCGGCACTGCTCCAAAGGCTCTCACTTTGCCTTACACACGTGTCAATTTAAACAACACTTGAGCGTCATCCTGAGCAGCAATATTCACGAGAGCTGATGCTCCCTTTCCCCCAATTTTTGAATCGCGGTAACATGCACGTAGCATCCAAGTCACCCTGTGACCAGCTCTAAACGTGTGGCTCGTTGTGGTGACAGCATCGAGCTGTTGCACCCCAAAGTCGCCCTCTCTCTCCAACACCCTGCATCCTGTCCAACGGACACTCGGAGACTGGGAATAACAACTCCCCACCTCCTCCTTCCCCAGCTCCCGGCAAGCACCTTTCTACTTCCTGTGGGCCCTCTGGGGCCCCCTATAAATGGAATGACACGGCATTTCCTTTTCAGCGTCTGGCCTCTTTCACGGACCCTCATGTCCTCAAGGGTCCCTCACGTCGTCGCCAGCGTCAGAACTCCCTTCCTTTTTAGACTCAACGATGTCCTGCTCGGATGTGCTATTTCCAGGTTTTTCTACCCTGTTACCAGGGACAAGCAGTAAAGGCCGCTCGCCTAGACACCCACGGCCGGCCGCATGCAAGCAGGGGCTGCCGGCCTGGGCCCACTTTGCTGAGACAGACTCTAGGCGGTCCTGGGCTGACAGAAATGAGCAGCGCGGGGCCCCAGGAAGAGTCACAGCCCACCCTCCTGGTGATCCCAAGGGCAGAGCCAGCCTGCTGCCAGGGGCCTTCCCTGCGCCCCTACAATCTTTACGAAAATCTGGGTGACAGCGAGAGAGGGAAGGAAAGAACAGCAGAGGTGGCGCCATCTCGGGCGCAGCGGCCGCCACGTGGGCCAGACTATTTTCAGCATTTATGAACCGACTTGTTCCTCTCAACAG